TCTTTACCACTGGGGCATTGGAAAACAATATGTGTTTAGCAAAGTTGAACAATGAATTCTACTCCTTGGCATATGTCCTAGACATAAACATGTCTAAGGAAATTTATTGTAGAATAAATAAGTTAAATTGCTATATGATATTATTGTGTTGTATAGCTTATGTCTTCAAAGTCAGTCTCTCTTCTGTTGAATGTTTGATTCTTCTAGAGGGCAGTTAGAACTTTACCCTGTATGCCGAAACTGGTTTGGCTCAGTGGATAGAGCGTCGGCCTGCGAACTAAAGACTCCCAGGTTCGATTCCGGTCAAGGGCATGTACCTTGGTTGCAGGCACATCCCCAGTGGGGGGTGTGCAAGAGGCAGCTGATTGATGACTCTCTCTCATCGATGTTTCTAGCTCTTTATCCCTCTCCTTTCCTCTCTGTAAAAAATTAATAATATATATATATATATATTTTTAAAAAGAACTTTACCCTGTAGTCTGCACTATTTATTCATTTTTGGTGCAGTAAGGAGCAGTAATAACTCGAATAAATGCTAAAAGAGTCTTCTGGATATCATCTTTTTTTGGGGAGACCATGACACTATATCTCTGAACATGTCTTTCTCCATACTTTGATAAGTTTTAGAAAATAACTTAAAATAGGACAAAATTCGGCTGTTGTGAATTGGGGCACTTATAGCCATCATTTAGGGCACATATAACTTCTTTCTCATTTGTTATTTTTGCCCACTGCTTTTTTTTTTTTTTTTTTTTTCCTCAGAGGATGAAGTTGGTAACTTCAGCCACTGGGTGGCGCAAATTCACCAGAGCTTGGTGAAAGTTGGTAAATAACAGCTCAAAGTGCACTAGTTGTTACACTGTAGCACGTGAAGCAGGGTTAGGTAGAAGAAAAAAGGCTTTGGGGGCTGAAACTTAAGTATAGACACGGATCTAAATCCTCTGGGAGTGAAAATTAAGGGAAATTTTTAGTATTGGGTGACTGGCAAGTCAGGTCACTGAAAAAGGGAAAGAAAAAGAAGAAAAGGAAAAGTTTTAGAATACAGAGCAAGAAGAGAAAGATGAGAAAGAAATATGAGAAGCACAGGCTGGATGGCTCAGTTGGCTGAAGCATCATTTTGTACACCAAAAGTTTACAAGTTCAATCCCCAGTCAGTGCATGCAGGAGGCAACTGATTGATTTGTCTCTCTCTCCCCTTTCCTCTTAAAGTCAATAAAACATATCTTTGGGTAAGGATTAAAAAATAAAAATTAAACATTTAAAATATCAGAGGGAAAAGCATGTAAGTCTAGAGAAATGAATTCAAGTGTTACCAACAATTACAGATGGCCTTTCATTGATTTGCATCCACCTGGTTAACCAATAGCAGCTTTGATGTAAAATAAAAGTTACTTCATTTTCTCCTAGAAAGTTAGGTATGATATCCTCAGCTATCCATTTAGTAGTATGATGTGACCAACATTTTCTGAATATCTACTAGGAGCATAGTGCTTTGTTGGCTACAGAGTAATATGGAGATATACAAATGTAGATGTAGAGAATACACTACAACCTCCAAGGATACAAACTAGGAAGTATACATAAAAAGATAGATGGCAACTAAAGGCAACATGGGGGGCATTGTATGAACTCTAAAATGAAATCCTTTCTGAGAGTGGGAGAGGAGGTGTGGAGGATCAGAGTGTGAGGGGAGGAGGAGCCATAAGACTGTCAACCTGTGCAGGATAAAAAAAAAAGAAGAGTTCCTAGTCCCTAGCCATAAGTACATATAGCAGGTCTTCCTTAGAAAATGGCTTGTTCTGGACATATACATAGGAAAAGTGCTGTAGGTCAGAATTTGCTGGAAGGTGTTTAAAGAGGCTCAAAACCAAGTGGGAGTAGGGCAAGAACAATTAGGGCTAGAGCCACCTTTTAAGTCCCTCTGTAATTAGTAACCTCTTGCACCACCCTGGGTGTACAGAAAAGAGGGGACCCTAATTGCCTAGTCCTCAGTCATGTTGATTTTTTGAGAACACAGGTATATCTACAAAATGAAGAATGGCAAAACATACAAAATTGTATATTTTAAGTTTATATTAAGTAAGTCATATTTTAACATACATACACATACAACTATTAATGTTATTCAGCAATACCTTCAAAAGTTTAAATTGGAAATTTCTGTTAATGTGCCTTCTCTGCCCTGAGCAACTTCCTACCATAATCTTTGCATCTATCAAAAAGTATTAGGTTGCTTTGGCTGGTGTGGCTCAGTTGGTTAGGGTTGTGGGTTCAATTCCCTGTCAGGGCACATACCCAGGTTTTGGGTTCAGTCCCCAGTCAGGGCATGTCCAGGAGGCAACTCATCAATGTATGTATCTTTTCCATATTGCTCTTTATCTCTCTCTCCCGCCCTCTCTCTTCCTCTTGCTCTCCCTCTTCCTCTTCATTCCACTCTCTCCAGAATCACCGAAAAACATATCCTCTGGCGAGGATTGAAAAAGTATTTGGGTGATTTAGACCCTTAGAAAAGGTGGAATGACTTCCAGTTCTTTCTAAGACTTGACTGGAATATAGCAGTAATATGCTAGCCAAAAAAGAGATGGCAACTTTAAAATGGTATGAAGAGTATGATGTTAGTTGTGTAACATGTGTCTTTTTTTGTATAATGAGAAATAGATATAGATATAGATATAGATATAATCATGTCTATAAAGAGATACATCAAAGTATTAACAGTGGTTATCTCTAAGAGGAAGGATTAGTTGTAATATTTTTACTTTTAGATTTGCCAGTATTTTCTAAACATTGTATAATGAGAATGTACTTAATTGAAAAACAAAAGGTGTTAGCTTAATAAGAAAGAATTTGACATAAAAATCTTGCCAACTAGTCACTTCCCGGAGGAATAATTGGCACTCCACACACAGAGCGTTTTATCAAGCTGAGACGATAGCCTACGCTATAGTGGTGACAGGGAGAATTGTGTCCTGCTGTGAAGTGGTCTGCAGACTGAGGTGCCCATCCCAAGTTCCCCTCCCTTGTGCTATTTTTCTCATCCATTTCTTAGTTTTCAAAGATCTCCAACTGTCAAGAGAATATGGGATTCTTCAGGGTCATAGAAAGAGATTGGACTAACAATTCCCAGGGGGAAAGGATTCTGAGGGGTGCGGGAAGAGATTGGACAAAAATCTTACACCTATGGATGAAGACAGTGGCCGGGGTAAGGGCATGGGGTGGGGTGGGGTTGGGAATCAGGTGGAGGGGAGCTATTGGGCGGGGGAGGGGGGGGAAGGAACACCTGTAATAATCTGAACAACAAAGATTTATTTTAAATAAATAAAAGTCAAAACCTTAAAACAAAACAAAACAAGAGAGAGAGAATATGGGATTCTAAATGATTACCAATGAGGGAGTCAGAAAATCCTCAGAGGAACCTTGCTTTGTCAGGGGAAACAGATTGTCCCTAAAGCAAAATAAATGATTTTGATCCCATCAGTGAATTTCTTTAAAGAAAGTCACTATAAATGTTATTAAAATTATACTCTTGCAGTAGCATTAATGGATATAGACTTTGCCCCAGGTTTCACCTCCTGATAAATCTCATGTTTCTGGATTAAAGGACATGTGTGGTGGATGAGGCTGGGAGGGTGGGGATGAATGTAGGTATCAATTCTAGACCAAGTATAGAATGCTTCTAATCATCCTCACTCATGGTCTAGGGAAGGAACAAGTTTTGTTTGTTTGTTTGTTTTGTTTTTCCTATTTCATGGTCAGACTGAACCATGGTGGCAAGATAACCTGGAGGTGGAAGGTGCAAATCATAAACTCCTTTATCCAAGTGCAAGCTCCAGTGCTCTGTTGTCTTTACCTGCTATGTTTTCAAGGCTCGAGGGGACTTTAGGATGCCTAGAGGGTCTCTAGAGCTTCCTTGAAAACTACCATCATCCATGCTTTATTTCTGTTCCATCTCTTCCAGGCTTGGCTTGAATATTAATTCAGGGTTTATGGCAAGATATATTCATTCCTCTGTTGGTACAGTTTTGAGAATCATTATTTTTTGGACAATACTTGAAGTAAAAGAAAATTAAAATTAGTATATGATTTTTATCAGAGAACTAACAAAACAGAATTATTTAGAAACAGGCACATTTCACCACAATAAAATGGAATGGTTTTAGCCTTTTATGAAAAAAAGGCAGGATAACAGTTTTATCTGCCCCCACCATTCCCTTTTTACCTAAATACTGCTTTAGTATAATCTCTTTCCATTTTCTTACCAAACTCTTAGTTAAGCAGGTCAGACTTGACTTATATCTGTATCTCTTTGAGAAAGATCATGGTAACCATTTTTGCTCTCATGTCCTTGTTCAGAATATACATAGCTCACTCTTCTGGTAGGGTACAATATTGGGAGGAAGGAACACCTGTAATAATCTGGATTATTAGGAACTCTGGATTATCAGGAGACCTCATCTGGGTCTCTTAGCACCTTGGAATGCTTAAATTCACATTCCCTTCACCAGTGTGTTCATAGCTACTCGTGGTGGCAGAAGCTAAATCATAAAACCTTGGGAAAACAGGACCTTCACCCTAAGCCAGTTGAGAGCTAGTGAGCATGAAGTCAGCCCTGAAGATAACAGAGGAGTGGGTGAACTATGCCACACTTGTGGCTGCTCTTCGCCATTCCTTGAAGGCTATGTTTAAACCTTTTGTCAAAGAGCAATAGGTCCATTCACAGTCCTTAGAGGGAAGACTTCCTGTTTCCATTTGATGGGGTGAGAAGATACCCACTTTTTGTGGAGGTACAAAGTGAATCTCAGAGACTTGGATATCAGTCAGTACCAGTGGCATGAGGGTAATTGATTAAGCTCAGGCTCCCCCTTCATTGGCCTGGCATTACTGTTTGATTGCAATGTTCATGCTGAAGATATGAGTGCAGAAATGACAAATATCTGCCCATCCTATATAATAAAGACAGAATATGCAAATTGACCATAACTCCACAACAAACTATGGCAGTGCCCACAGCCAATAAGGAGGGAATATACAAATTGACGCAACAAGGTGAGAGGCAGAAGGCCACTCCATCTGGAGCGAGGGTGGTGCCTGCAGCCAGGGGAAGGCAGGCCTATTCTGCATGAATCTTTGTGCATTGGGCCTCTAGTCTTAATTAATAATAGGGAGAAGACAGTATAGTATCCATGAGAGTCAGAATAGAACTTCTCAGAAGTATGTCTGGTGGATAACAATGATTTCGGCAGCTTTCTTTGAGTTTGAGTTGGGAGCATTTTCTCCAACCTAGAGATTGAAAGAAAATAGGAAAGATAAAGAAGTATGCAAATGGGTTTTTCTTTATATACTGCCAAAAAAAATAGCTAAGTACAAAACCCTGTATAATTCCAAGTACACATCATTTTGCCTCTTTGCTTCCCAGTAATTCTAGGGAAAGTTATTGTACTTATACAGAGAAAGTATCTGCAAGGTACACTTAGTATGAAAATCTACAATTTATTGGACCCTATAACCTACCAGCAAAGAGCCTATCTACCCCTTGCTTGACCTATTTGCCTTGGATGGAAAAGGCCCTCGATCTGCAGCCACTTTGGATCCCAGATGCACAACAGTTCTACTTCATCCTTGAATCCGGCCCATTCAGTCTCACTCTGTTGGAAAGCAGCAGAAACCTAGGTCTAAGTGGACCAAGTATATTTTACTAATCCTTTTCCATTTGCACTACACCTGACTCCATGCCCATCTGATTTTGTATGTACTTTCTTTTTTTTCTTTTTTCTTTTTTTAATATATTTTATTGATTTTTCACAGAGAGGAAGAGAGAGGGATAGAGAGTTAGAAACATTGATGAGAGAGAATCATCGATCAGCTGCCTCTTGCACACCCCCCACTGGGTATGTGCCCGCAACCAAGATACATGCCCTTGACCAGAATAAAACCTGGGACCCTTCAGTCCACAGGCCAATGCTCTATCCACTGAGCCAAACCAGCCAGGGCTGCATGTACTTTCCAAATGCTAACCTGTTATAAACATAGACTGTAAGCCTCTGGAAGGTGGGAAGAAAGAAGAAAAATTGACACTTTCAGTAAAATTTTATGGAATAGATGAATAGGCCAGTAAATCCAGTATGTTAAAAATTCCTGATTCTTTCTGCTGATTCATTATATCTAGGGCCCAGAAATCTGTATTTTCAGTTATGTGTTATGGTTGGTCTAATGTTAAGAAAATATTATAGCATTACAAATACCTACCTGTTTCCTGACACATAAAACAATTAACCACATTTGCTTCATAACAGAAGCAGCTTCCTGTATCCCAGGTCTTATATATTAGCCCCATTTTCTCCAAACAAATGCACAAACCATACAGAGAACACTTTCCTTCTCTGGCTGAGAGTGAGGCTGGGATTCAGCTGCCTCAGGTTGCTGGCCTTCCTTCCTTAGCCTTCTCCACAATCGCCGGCATTGGCATAGTTCTCTGGTTCTTGGGTGTTTACACTGAGGGGAGAAAAATGCCTGGTATTAACTTTAGGTCCCTGGTATGCATTTGATTATCTTCCAAACCTCATGTCGGGCCATTTAAAGGAAATTATCTCTTATAAAGAAACTATTCTGTCCTATTGGCTCTATCCTCCCTAGAGAATGTTGAAGTACAGTAAAGAAAGGAACTCACATTTAGCAAGGACCTCCTGTCACACATGATCTCAATTAACCTTCATAACCACCATAAGAGGCAAATATCATTAGTCCCATTTTAAAGATGAGACAACTGAGGCTGGACAAGTCAAGCAACTTTCTCAAAGCCACTCAGCTAGTGAGTATGAGTGGTAGGTCTGTCCAAACTCCAAAGTCTATGTTTTTCTTATTATGCCAACCTGCCACTGGAAAAGGAGATTTTTATAGATCAAGCCCAAGCACCCAATACATCAGCAAACTTACAGGACATGGAACTTCAAAAATGACAAACACTGTAATAGCGATTCCACTTAACAACAGAGTGACAGCAATCAGAAATTTGACCACACTGCTCCATTTCTGCCTCTTCTCTAGATCTTCATCCGTGTCTAAAAGAAGAGAGCAGAGTAGAAGAGGGAGAAAGAGAATTTGAGAGAGGGAAAAGATCAACCCTCTGATTTGAAGGTCTCTTGGCTCACATGACTAAGAGGGGTCCACCTAGATTCAGAGGCAGGGCCCCCTTTCCAGTTCAGACTTACAGTCAGGAATGGGGTTGGCATCATGGGCTCTGCTCTAATCTCAGAGAGTCACCTTCCCAGGGCTTTGGGATTTTTCCATGATCAAATAGGACCCATTTTTGCACTGCCCTCAAGAAAGGAAAAGGGTGGGAGTGCCCAAGGAGGTCTAACTCTTCTTTCACCAGCAGCCCTCTCAGGGTCTCTACCTAGAAAGTCACCCTCCTTTGCTCCTTGTGGCTTTAGTGGGGCATAGAAAGAACAAAGGTGAGTTGGCATTGCTCCTGGGTCATAAGCCAGATTTGGGGACAAATGGCTTATATGCAACTTGTTATTACTAGTCTCATATTTATTTTTCCCCTGGTAGGAACTAGGATGTCACCCAAGCCAGAATCTTACAGAATCTGAGTTCTGGTCAATTTAGGGAAGGTCATTTCCAAAAACTGGGCAGATGAAACATGTACTTGATTGGTGCCATCACTATAATAATTGCTTAGTGTGTAAATGTCGCCTGTCTATACATGAAGAGGCTGGTATTTCCTACCACATGAATACATTTCATTCTATCCCCAAATCTGGCTGCAAGATTAGCTCATTGCTATGGAGGTAAAGCACTATTAATACAGTCATGTGCCCCTTAACAACTGGGATACATTCTGAGAAGTGCATCATTAGGCAATTCCATCACTGAGTAAAAACGAGAGTTACACTAACCTGGATGATACTTACACTAACCTGGATAGTGCAGCCTACTACACACCTAGGCTATATGGTATAGTGTATTGCTCCTGTACAGCATGTTACTGTATTGAATACTGTAGGCAATTGTAGCACATTGGTATTTGTGTATAGAAAGGTACAGTAAAAATACAGTGTAAAAGATAAACCATGGTACACCTATCCAGGGCACTTACCATGAATGGAGCTTGCACATCTGGGAGTTGCTCTGGATGAGTCAGTGAGTGAGTGGGTGAGTGAATATGAAGATATAGGACATTACTGTACACTAGTGTAGACTTGATACAACACTATACATTTAAGCTACACAAAATTTATAAAACAACCGAGATTAAATCAAGCATAAAAGAAAAGGGTATAACCAAGAGACAGTAAACACAGGTGTATAAGGCTGCTGCTGGCCTAACACAACATACTGTTTTACAGCAAACTTTTCTTATAAGTAGAAAGAGTACACTCTAAAGCAATTATAAAAAGTGTAGAATAGTAAATACATAAAGCAGTAATAGTCATTTACTATTATCAAGTATTATGTACTATACTATATATACAGTAGTTCCATCATAGACCAAAATGTTGTGATGCAGCACAGGTCTATAGTGTCAAACTACAAATATTTCTGAGACCTTCTTTTTAAAGAAACTGATGTTTTCCATAAGAAATGGAGTGGTTTTTCTAGTAGAAACTCTGTGTAACCTCTCAACCTCCAGGAAAATCTTAGGAGACCCAGGCTAATGTTGGGGTTAAAATTGTTTTTCTTTCTGTTCTTGTCTCACCCTTACTTATTCTGTACCTTGTTTCAAAGGGGTAGAAAAATCATCAATACTTGTAGTTTTCTCTCCTCCTTTATTCCCTGGAGTTATGGAGGTGGTAGTGGTGGGAAAAGCCTCTAATGAAGTCCTCGTTGCTGGATAGACCTTACATTGGAAGACCCCTGGTAAAAAAGCTAGAAAAAAAAAAAAAAGAATGAATGAAAGGAAAACTGAGAAAACTTTATCCTGCCTTTGATTTTACCTGACAAAAGAACCTAGCTCTATCCAAGATGATACTAAACCCATTGACCTGTCCATAGGTTTAGGCTGTAAGCTCCAAATAATGCCAAGAGTATATGAGAATAGAGATACTAATAAGAGATATGGATTAAAATCCCCAGGAGGCCTTTGACTAATGTAGGATCAGAGTAGAGGAGTAGACCATATCTTATTTGCCTATCATGCTTAAAGCCGTAATAATAATAATAAGGATGGAGGGTGTAACACTGTTCAAAGTTTCCATCTTTTAAAAAGATGGCTCCAAAGTCCAAAGAGGAACATGAAATATTATCATTTGCCTTAATGACTGCTGCAAATTTGTCTGGTGGAGTGTAAGTCAACTACTCTGAGAGGGGATTGGGGAAAACGAAAAGAGTTGGAAGAAGGAAAGACCACCCAGCTACATGCACTCCTCAATTTCATTCATTCTGCAAATAATTAAAAATGAATACTGTATCTATTATGTGCCAGAGATTACTTCATTACTTTGGATTTATCAGTTGGATACATTCTAGCTAGGGAAGGAATAAAGGAGAGAAAGGGTTGAGGGGATTGAGGGAATAGACCACAATAAATACAGTAAATTTTATGGTATGTGCTATAAAAAATAAATGAATAAATAAATAAATAAATAAAGTGGAGGAAGGTGCCCAGCTGGCATGGTTCAGTGGCTGAGCATTGACTTATGAACAAGGAGGTCACTGTTCAATTCACAGTCAGGGCACATGCCCAGGTTTCGGGCTCCATCCCCAGTGTGGGCATGCAAGAGACAGCCGGTCAATGTTGCTCTCTCATCATTGATGTTTCTAACTCACTCTCCCTCTTCCTCTCCCTTTCTATCTTAATTCAATAAAAAAAATATATATTTTTTAAAGTAGAGGAAGGTAAGGGAGCAGTCTAGAGATGTGGTGCAGGTGGGCAGTGGTCTGGCAATATGCAGTGTAGGCTGGTTCATTAAAAGGTGAGAATTGAGCCAAGACTTGAAGGAAGTGAGGGGAATAGCCATGCAGATACCTAGAAAGTATAGTAAGTTCTCACTAAAGTTGTAACTAGATTTGGAAACTGTGACTTTAAGGCAAAATGACATTTAACAAAATCAGTTGTCTCATAGGCTAACTGATATAAATGAAAATAAGAATTGGGTTCCTCTGGCATATTTCTGGTTATAAAAACATCACCAAATTTCTAAAGACAACACTTCTAATATTAAAGTTTGAAATAAATGTGAATTTCATATACATTTAATAAATATTAATAAAAACAAGCAAGATAAATCTTTTCTAAGCTGCTTATTTCAGTTCAGGCCTGAGGGTAGCCAGAGCCTATCCCAGCAACTCAGGGAGGGGACAACCACTGCAGGGCACCCACGTACACCCACACGGAGACCAGAGCAATGCGGATAGTCCAAATCATGTAATATGCACGTCTTTGGGTTGTGAGAGGAAACCAATGTATGGAGGGAAAACCTTGCAAGCTGGAGAGAATATGAAAACTCCACACAGACAGTGGCCCTAGTGGAAATCAATTTTCTTCTCGTCAATGTTACAACAAAATTGATGTTATTCGAGGACCTGTTGTAGTGACCTAGGCAGAGGCGAGAGCTAGAGTATAGGCCCCAAGGCAGAGATGTCTATCTGGCATGTTACAGTTTTAGAGGACAAGCAAAGAGGCCAGTGAGATTGGAGTAGAGTAAGCAAGGGGACAGGAGTAGGTGATAAGGATCTAAAGGAAATGGGCGCATATCACTGGGGGCCTTGTAAGCTAGTTTAAAGATTTTGGTTTTTATTCTGATTGAAATGGGGATCCAGTCCTGCCCAGTGTGGCTCAGATGGTTGAGCGTTTTCCCATCATCCTGTGCACTGAAAGGTCACGGGGTTTGATTCCCAGTCAGGGAACATTCCTGGGTAGTGGGTTTGATCTCTGGTTGAGTGCAACCGATTGATGTTTATCTCTGTCTTTCCCTCTCCCTGCCTCTTTTTCCCTCTCCCTCCCTCCCTCCCTTCCTCCCTCCCTCCCTTCCTCCCTCCCTCCCTCTCTCTCTCTCTCTTCCTCTCCCTCTCCCTCTCTCCCTCTCTCCCTCTCTCCCTCTCTCTCTCTCATCAATAGAAACATATTTAAAAAAAAAAAGAAAAAAAAAAAGAAATGGCGATCCATTACAAGGTTTTGAGCAGAGGAATGGCATGATGGTTTCATTTTTAAAAGATCACTGAAATAGACTGTAGTGGGGCAAGGGTAGAAGCAGAGTCACCTGACAGGAGGCTATTGCAGAAATCCAATGAGAGATGATGGTGACTCAGACCAGCTGTGGAAGTGATGAGATGATATAGACAGATTCTGGCTGTAGTCTGGAATGAACTTCACTTGCCTCCAGAATTGACTTAATCCAATTCACACAGTGGTTCCTATTCCATTTTGAATGGTCTCTTCTCATTGCTTATTAAATTGAGGTCTGTAAGTCCTACTTGATGTTTCTAAATTAGTTTCCCATGTCTTGATTAAGTCCATGTAAAAATGATAGTTCCTTACTTCAGAGGCCAGTGGCTACAGTACCAGACATTGTATATGAAATTACAGGGTAAGGACTCATCCTTGATTTCATTTTAATCAGGAAAACAGTGTTGGCAAAGATAGAGACCAAAAGCTACAGTTTCAAAAAAAAAAAACAAATAAGGAAATGATGTGAAGTGTTTTCAGCATAGTGCCAGTCAGGTCTCTAAAGTGATAACGTGTTCTATGAGACAGATGAGCTGAAGATAAGCAAATCTCACTTTGGACAAGTCATCTAAGTTCTCTGAGTTTTGGTCTCCTTGTCTGTAAGATCGTTATAATCAAAGTAGAGGCTCAATGGACGAAATTCGTGCAAGGGGCTCGGCCCTTGCAGCCCCAGACAGTCGTTCTGCTCTTTAGTCTAATTAGCGTATTAGCTCTTTATTATATAGGATAATTCTTGATCTTCCTATTTCACAGGAGTGATGTGAAGGTAAGAAAGCAGGTATGAAAACACTCTGCACGCTGAGTGATATGATTGGAGGAGGAGGAAAAACCTAGAGATCCTCTAAGTAGAACTGTGCCCTCTAACCACAGGGATAATGGTATTTCACTATAGCATGTCTTCCCACCTCTTGGGGCCACTGTTGCAAAGTCTACCTAATAGGCTTCATTTGTCAATGTATTTTCATTTCTGCCAAGTTTCTGAATTAATGCCCATCCATGTTGACAGTTCATCTCTAGTAGATCTCATCTGCTAGGTGATTAAGGTGGAGCATATTTATAAGTACAGCTCTCCGTTCCTGGTGATGATGGAATTGCAATTAGCTTTTCTTTGGCTAAGGATATTTGGGCATGAATGCCCCACTTTAATGAGAAAAACAAAAGTCCCAATTTATGAAATGGATGATTTAGGAGATGATGCTTTGCTTTATTACAAAATAACTTATTTTAAAACGGGAGCATTAGATGCATTGCATTTAAATGGAAGTTTTTTTTAGAGCCTATTCTGTAATAATATTAGCAGGTTGAAGGAGGTATTTGAGAAGCCTTATATATTGCTATTGGGTTTGTGCTTCGGATCTAAATCTCAACTGTACATATATAGAAATCAGCGTGTAGAAACTGAGCACTGGAGAAATTAAGTAACCTGTCAAAGGTGATCATTAATATCAGAATAAACCTTTGTTTAATATTTCTCCTATCCTCACAGTTTCACATGGGTTAAACAGACCATAGGAATTAGTGCACACCAGTCAAATTCCAAAGAACCTAATCTATATACTAAAAATGACATTGAAAAGTATTTACATAGGTGAATGAGTCTGCCAAATGGATCAGATATGATGTTTTTCTTGTCTAGATACCCTTTTTCTAAACCTACAGATTCTTGTGAAACCAAATGCATAATTGGAAAGTTTCTTGATTAATATAGATCTGAAGAATAGGAACTAGATGGTGTAAACCTTATCAGAAGTGATAAAGACCTACGAGTCCTCTTTCATCAGAAAGAATTATCAGAATATTTATAATAGAGGATCTTTTCCTTGGCCAAATTCCATAAACAGTAACAAATAGTTTCCATCTTACATTTTTCTAGATTGCATGTCAACCCACATCTTCTGTTGCAGCTTATTCTCATCCTTACAATTTCAGATTCCTACTTTTCTCTGGGAACATCTCCATGCATTGGCTTGTTTCTGGGACATCCTCCTGTGTAGACTGATGTCATCTATAATGGCATCTCTTTTATGACCTTATAAATTTGATTATGTACCTAATTATTTCTACTCTACTTCGAGTGTGTCACTTCCTGGCACTCGGTGTAAGTTTAAATTCAGAATAGGCAGTTTTAAACTTATAAATGGGGCAATATTTCAAAAGTCCACTCATATATTGGTTGTCTGCAATTCGTCGTTGTTCAATAAATGTATCTTGACTGATGATTAGATCCCCAAACTAACCTGCAAATATCCATTTACTTTCTTTGCACAGCTCAGATAGTACAGGGTATTAGCTTAAACCAGCTATTTTCAATCTTTTCCATCTCATGGCACACAGAAACTACTAAAATTCCAGGGAACACCCCCCCCAAAATTGTTTTTTGCTGGTTGACAAAAATAAATAGGTATAATTTTTTATTCAGCTACACTGGATAGCTATTTTTAAATTCAACAATCTAAGGGAAGCAGGCCAGCGCCCCTGACTAAAAATCAGGTATTGCATGTCTTAAAAATTCTTGCAACACACCCATTGAAAGTCGCTGGCTTAGACTTTTCCTCCTCCCCTGGACTCTAGGTTAGCCCAAAGCAAATTGTTGAATTAGGTTGATCATTGGCATCTCTCCCCTTTGATCCCCCCGTTTTCCCTGACCCAAATCTCTAAGAGCTAGTGTCTTAATTGCTCTGAGTCCAACACTGCATAGCATTATATCCAAGAAAGATTTACCCTGTACAATGTGCTCTAGACTCCAAAATGACTTAAGTTCGCTATTCCCATCACATTTATCATTGACTCATAGTGTGGGAGTGTCACATGTTAGGAAGAGAACAATCTGGTTGAATTAATTTGCATTAACACTGAGTGACTGAAAGCCCCCACACACTGTCAGAGGCTTTTAAGTTTTTAAGAGCTTTTTTCACACAAAAGTGATCACTATGTGAACTTTAGAAAGTATAGTAAAGGAATTAAAACATTTGTGTCATGTGAGGATTTATAATTTACTATACCTGGGCTACATCCCAAGAACCTATCCACTTATTTCCCAATTTCTAGTCTTCTAAACCAGTGATTGGCAAACTGCAGCTCGTGAGCCACACACGGCTCTTTGGCCCCTTGAGTGTGGCTCTTCCATAAAATACCACGTGCAGGTGAGCATGTACAGTGCTATTGAAACTTTGTGGCCCATGCGTAGAAGTTGGTTTTAGCTCTCAAAAGAAATTTCAATCGTTGTACTGTTGATATTTGATTCTGTTGACTAATGAGTTTGCCAACCACTGCTCTAAACAGATTGTATTGTAGTTTTAAAAGTACTCCTCCACCCCCATTATTCTGCTGGTGATCCCCCAATTTTTTTTAAAAGTGTCAAGTTTTTTTTTTAATATATTTTTATTGATTTTGTACAGAGAGGAAGGGAGAGAGATAGAGAGTTAGAAACATCGATGAGAGAGTCATCGATCAGCTGCCTCTTGCACACCCCCTACTGGGGATATGCCCGCAACCAAGGTACATGCCCCTGACGGGAATCGAACCCGGGACCCTTCAGTCCCCAAGCCAATGCTCTATCCATTGAGCCAAACCGGTCTCGGCAAAAGTGTCAAGTTTTATTTAATTTTTTCCAGCACTGCAACAGTAGCATCTAGGGCAGTGGTCAGCAAACTCATTACTCCACAGTGTCAAATATCAACAGTACAATGGTTGAAATTTCTTTTGAGAGCCAAATTTTTTAAACTTAAACTTCTTCTAATGCCATTCTTTAAAATAGACTCGCCCAGGCCATGGTATTTTGTGGAAGAGCCACACTCAAGGGGCCAAAGAGCCAGATGTGGCTTGAGAGCCGCAGTTTGCCAACCACGGATCTAGGGAATTTCCTGTATGTAGGGGGAACTGCCAATACTAATATTCTTGATATATAGATCATAAACTAGTTGACAAAAAGAATGGGTGGGAGAAGGAAGGACAGAAGCAGAGAAACTTAAGGCAAAGGTCAAGAGCCATTGCTCAGCAACTGTGGGGGAATAGTTACTCTCAATGTGTGTGGAAGTGAAAAACTGAACAACCCCTGTGGAGGGTAACTTAGCAATATCTATCAAACTTTGATACAGCAACCCTGCTTGGAATTTATCCTATGGATAAATTGTAGGCACACAAAGAAGAATGTATAAGATCATTGCTTGCAGCATTGTTTGTATTTGTAAGAGGTTGGAAACAACCAAAATATTGATCCATAGGAAACTGGTGATAGTATAGACATAAAATGTAATAATGTACAAGAGTTACAAGGAATGAGACATATCCTATATAATAAAAGACTAACATGCAAATTGTCCCCTCAAGGGGAGTTTGACCAACCTGGAGTTTGACTGCTCGCTATGATGTGCACTGACCAATGGGGCTGTGCGGAACATGGCAGGCGTAGCGGTATTGGCAGTGGGCTACAGTGAAGGTGCTGCCAGCCCCCATGGGTCCCTATGAGAGCCAACTATGGCAGTGGGAAGGTGGAGCAGGCAAGTGGGTGGCACCAGGCCAAGGCAGGGTGACAATCAGGGCTGCAAGGCTGGGGGAGGGAGTTAGGGCCTGATCTTCACAGGCCAACTTGAGGGACCCCACCCATGTACAAATTTCGTGCACTGGGCCTCTAGTTAATACATATTGATATGGAACAACCTATAGATACATTGTTAAGTGGGGGGGAAAGCAAGGTATTAAATAGTGTATATGGTATGCTACTATTTATATGTTTAAAATATATACATCCATACATGCCTAGAATATCTCTGGAAGGAAACTCAATAAGTTGTTAATAGGATTTCCCTCAGGGATAGAGTACTGGAGGATGAGGGAGTAGAACAAGGGAGATTTACTTTTCACTGGAAACCTGTGTTGTTTGAATATTTTACTATGTGCATTCAGAGTAAATTAAAATCAAATAAGTATTGTGAAAGACAACCCATCAGAAATGAGAGCATGTGAAAATTGCAGCATGTCAGGACTAGAAGGGTCCTTAGAGATTAGAAAACTGAGTCTCAGAGAGGACATAGATTTGCCAAAGGAGAGGATAATCCATTTCCTTGAGGCATTAGCTGCTACTAAGCTCTATCTGCATTCAGGTTTGTAAGTAAAAGTCATGCCTACCTTCACCTTATGTTCCAATCTCACCTTTGCCTGTTAGAAGAGATCCATTCTGAAAGTTGGATGTAGGGGTTAGGTGACAGCTTGGGAAAGCAGTGCTGTTTCTGTGGGGAGCAGCAATGACTCTCAGATTCTTGAGAGTATACTTGACCTTTGGCCTTTTCTCTGAATATGCAAGGCTGACTTTTACTTTGCTCCCAGAGGCAAGGCACTGCAGGGTAGCCACAGTCAGAATTTGGTCGAAGGTGGACCTGTTGTCTTTAGCTTGAGCTTCTGCAAAGAGATAAATAAGCCAAAGAGAATAAAGGAAGCTGGCATATATTTATTGGTTTCAGAGCAGAAGAGAGAGGGAGAGATAGAAACATTAATGATGAAAGAGAATCATGGATCCGCTGCCTCCTGCACGCTCCTCACTGAGAATTGAGCCCCCAGTCCAGGAATGTGCCCTGATGGAGAATCAAACTGTGACCTCCCAGTTCATGGATCGACACTTAACCACTGAACCACACTGCCTGGACAGGAAGCTGGTTCTTAATCTGAATGGCTGAACTACCTATTGACTCGTTAAACTTCACTGCTGTATTTTTGTGTCTTTTTAGTTGATTTCTTCCTCAGCATGTGCTTATGATACTTAATATACAAACCTGCCTTTCTTCCTTCCTACCATGGGCCCCATGAAGGTGGGTGACTGCATTAAGTTCAGCCCAGAGAAATGCTCACGGATTGTCCTTTAATGCAGAGGGTTGAATATTGCCTCCTTCTCTTTTCTTACCCCCTTTTTTGATTTATAGAGCTATATCTTAGCTAATAAGAATTCATTCAAAAAAATTGGTTTCCAGAAAGCCTTTTGGGGGAATACATGTCTTTAAAATAGGATACTTGAGATCTGCGCTAGGAATGGGAGAGACAGGCATCTTTTAAAAATAAAATTAAAAAATAAATAAATAAAAATAAAAATTTTTTGGCAAAGTGATTTTTTTTTTAGGAAGAGTTCCTAAAAATTTTTTGGCAAAGTGATTTTTTTTTAGGAAGAGTTCCATACCTGGCATTAACACATCCCTGGTGCTTCTCATACCCATTGTGAAGAGCCCAGGGAGCTGTTCCACTTGACAATGGCTGTCTCTGAGTTCTGGAAGTAAAAAAAAAAAAGTTCAGGCTTTACTGTTTAGAATTTTAGGCACTGGAGAGGAAGATACAAAATAATGTAGTTCCTTCTCACAAAGCTTGCAATTGGTAATATAAAAATTCCTCCCAAAGTCTTAAAGTATATACAAGAAGAAGTTAGATAAGTAACATTATATAAAGAAGATTGAGTAACATTCTATTATTTTTGGGGGTAGGGAGGTAAAAAAGAGTTATTGTAAATAAAGTTAATGAAAGACTGATCAAACTTTTCCTTTAAAAACTGATTATCTCTTCACCTTCCTGTTCTTGTTTTAAAACTTTTGAAAGTTTATTAAGCGTAACCTTGAACAAGGTATTTTCTGAATTCCATGGAACCATAGATTATAATTATTTATGCTTTTGCCATATAACTCACAGGGTGTTGTGAGTTTTCTTTTTTTCTTTTTCTTATTTTTTTTGGGGTTTTCTTCATTTGCTAAATTTGCTACTACTGCACATTATACTGTTTGGCCTTAACTCTGGTGAGCTAATTACAGAGATGAAATGTCTAGAACACTTTGAAAATCATGTTTTAAATGAACAGTTATCAAAGAGCAGAAAATGGTGCCATTTCAACTCCACACCACCCTTTTCTTAGCTCTCCCTTTCCAAGAGCATCCCCACATATTTGGATGTAACACCTTAAAAAGGAAGACATCTTATGAGGAGGTATGAATTTGTGACAGCACCCTCCAGGAAGGACTCTGATGTTAGTTTCATGAACAAGACATTCTTTGAAGACTTCTCACCATGAAACGGACAGCTATCTTTCTGGGTTGAATAAGTTGCAGTCCTGCAGGAGGATGCATAGGATGACTGGAAAGCATTGCCAACTGAGTTGTGGCTATATCTCTATTTGCCAGAAGAGATCCCAAACACTTTCTGGCCTCTCTTTGGGTTTTCCAGGATATTAAGCTAGAATAGCACTTACCTTTCTTGTTGGCATCATAGGATGTAATGATTAGGCTGAAGACCAAGATGGTATCCATGTCAGCTTAAGCACATGCTCCTTGCAGAGACAGTATGCTGCTAATCTGTCACTGTCTCTTATAGCTTTCTAGGCATTTTCACTGCCCTGGAACCAAGTTTGACCCAGGGAGAGTCTGGTTCCACCCTAATTATCTTGCTCCATTTCCCGAAGATCCAGGAATAGAGCTGATTGGAGAGAGGACCAAATCTGCTTAATGATTGACTCAGAAGGTCTTCTCTGATCACTACTGCCAACATTAGAAATGGTAATTACCCAGAAGTTTCCTTAGGAGAAAGGGCATAAACGCCCAGTGATATCTTTATAAATACTTGCAGGTAGACACGTAGACATTCACAAGCATGCTCACTTAGACAGGCATATATATTTACACACCAGCATACAGAGATAAAGAGATTTCAATTAAGGAAATTGATTTATAGAGTAGAGCAGGGAACTGGGACTGAATAAGTTGGTGAGTTACACTGGAGAAAGCACTGCACTAGGAATTAAGAGAACTGGGTTCTAATACAGGCTATTATTAACTACGTCCTCTTGAGAAAATTGCTTGATTTCTCCACATCTCAATTTTTTCCTCTGTATTCCGACCAAATGATGTCTAGTATTCATTCACAGTTACACACCTAGACTTACATCAACACAGATATAACTATCTAGTTTTGTACATTTTCACACCCCAAGATAGTGAAATGAGTATAGGTAAACCACCTTCCCATGACTATTGGGCTGAGAGGTTGTGAAGAAGAGCTAAATATCCTAGATGAGAGATACTGCATGCAGTTTGGGAAGATTTTCCTAGACAGGTAACTGTTGAAGATTATTCAAAACTTGCATATTTTAGTAATTTTATATAAACTTTGTGATAACATAGGTAGATGGATCATAAAGCAGCAATGAGGATGTATTTAGGTCCTTTCCTAAGCCCAGAGTCTCTATATTCTCTCTACCCACTGTAAATGTACTCCATTGGAGTCAACATAGGTTTGGCTATGTGAAAGAAGGTTCTAGAGGCCAACACTCTCATTGATAATGATGAATAGGGACATTCCATGAGGGAATTCATTAGAGTCAAATCATGATTTAAATGTTACCCTGGCCCTAACCAGTTTGGCTTAATGGTTAGAATGTTGGCCTACGGACTGAAGGGTCCCAAGTTTAATTCAAGGGTCCCAAGGTCAAGGGCATGTACCTTGGTTGCGGGCACATCCCCAGTAGGGAGTGAGAAGGAGGCAGCTGATTGATGTTTCTTTCTCATTGATGTTTCTAACTCTCTATCTCCCTTCCTCTCTATAAAAAAATCAATATATATATATTTTAAAAATGTTAGTCTGTTGCCTGACATTTTAAAAATATATATATTTTATTGATTTTGTACAGAGAGGAAGGGAGAGAGATAGAGTTAGAAACATCGATGAGAGAGAAACATTGATCAGTTGCCTCCTGCACACCCCCTATTGGGGATATGCCCTATTGCCTGACATTTTAATTCAGGTTGAAATCTGGCTAAATAGAGCATCAAGGGAAATATTGGAAAACAAAAAGGGCAACATGCTGCCTGAAATTGGAAGGAGAAGTGCTGAACATTCAGCCACAGTGCCTGTCATTTAGCAAGTATTTATTGTGGGCCTACCATGTGCCAGACACTATTCTAGCAGTGAGCAAGATCAAGTCCATGTTCACATGAAAAAATGGAAAGCACACAACAAACCTGGTAAAAAATAAAATAGTGCAAAGGGCTAACAATGAATGATACACAAATACATAAGATAATTAGAGACTGTGATAGTTGTGAAGCAAAGAACAGAATGATGAGATGATGGGTCACTGGCAGAGGACACTTTAGGGTGGTCAGGGAAGACTTCTCTGAGGTGGTGACATTGGAGGTAAGAAAACTAAGAGAATGAATGCTGTAGAATCTAAGAAAGGCGAGTATTTCCAAGAAAGAAATGATCAGTTGGTCAAATGCTGGGAGGTGTGTATGATGAGAACAGACTGTCCACTATATTTGACAGTCCTATAAGAACAGTTTCAGCAGAGTGGTGGAAGTTGGAGAAGCTGAGAGGGAATTGAAGCTGAATATGTGTACATTATCTTTTTCAAGAAATTTTACCATGGAAGAGAGCAGAGAAGTGAGGCCAGCTAAGTAGAGGGAACATAAGTACCTCAAGTCTTACTGGTCTAGAGCAGCATTATCTCATTCCTTTTTCCCTGCCACAGTTGCCTGATTCTTCTAGGGGTAAGGCACATTGGTTTTGGTTATTATTTCCTCAACATGGTTACATGATTCTCTGCTCCCATGTAGTTTAAGAAACTCCCCCCTTGCCTGGACCGTTTGGCTCAGTGGATAGAGCGTTGGCCTGTGGACTGAAAGGTCCCGGGTTTGATTCCGGGCAAGGGCATGTACCTTGGTTGCAGGCTCATCACTGGTGGGGGGTGTGCAAGAGGCAGCTGATCGATGATTCTATATCATCGATGTTTCTAACTCTCTATCCCTCTCTCTTCCTCTCTGTTAAAAATCAATAAAATATATTTTAAAAAAAGAAAGAAAAAAAAAAGAAATAGAAACTTTCATTTTTTTCTGTGAATTCCTAGATGCCATGTGACAATGCTGCCACCTGGAGGAGGGGATAGGAAAGGATCTGAGGGTTCACTGTTCTCATTCTCTGTCACAAGGTGGCAGAAGAGCTCACTCTTCTCTAAAGAAACCTTGTGCTTAGACAAAGAGAAGGGACAAGCATATTGTTTTATCAACTTTCTGACCTTTCCCTTTCTCTTTGTGTCCTAGAGGCTCAAATGTCAGCCTTTGTGTTGAGCAGCCATACAGTGCCGAGAGCTACATTAACAAGTCAAAATAACTATCAGAGAAATAGACCCAGACTGTTCTCTACTATTATTATAGATATTTTGATTGGTTTTGTGTTTAGAATATATGTGGAGGAAAGGATATCTCACCTGATATCCTTTCCCTACAGCAAAAATGTCAAATTTAGAAGGAAACAAAACTGTAACATAGGTGAGTCTTGTGAGAGATATGACACGAAGATATTAGGAAACTGGGACTAACTAAAAGAATCAGGGTGGGTCTGTGGGAGGAGCACTTGACAAGTAGCCAAAAGGCATAACTAGCTTCTAGAACACACTGAATCACTTTGAGTAAGTCGTTTAATTTCTCTGGCCTCTGTTTTGGTGTCTTTATTTTTTTAAATATGTTTTTTGTAGATTTCAGAGAGAGGAAGAGAGAGAAAAAATCATTGATCAGCTATTCTTGCACGCCCCACGCTGGGAATCAAGGCTGCAATGCAGGCATGTGCCCTGAGTGGGAATTGAACCACTCCTGGTTCATAGGTGGATGCTAAATCACTGAGCCACACTGGCTGGGCCATTATTCAGATTTTTACTACTACAAATGAGTTTTGTTTGTTTTTTAACTTTATATAACAGGAAACACATTCTTTTGGGTCTGGATTTTTTTGCTTAATATTATGTCTGTAAAATTCATCTTGATGTTTCATGTAGCAATAGTTTGTTCTCATTGCTTTATATATTTCAGTGTACCATAACTTATCCATTCTACTGCTGAGAGATTGGGTTATTTTCAGGTTTTGGTCATAATGAACAAAGTTCCTGGAATCATCTGAAAGTTTCTCCAGAATATAAATCCAGAAATGGAAGCAGAGTTATAGGGTATGCAGGGTATGTTCAGCCTTACTAATTAATGCCAAATGTTTTCTAGGAGGCTGTTCTTACTTACACCCTTCTCTGTAGAATATAAAAGTTCCTATTGTCTCACATCCTTCCCAAAGGGACCAAAGAGCCTTTTCAATGTGGCACAGCTATACAGACTCTCAGAGTGCCAACCCTTTGATTGGTTTTCAGAAGCTCAGGCCACAGTCACTTCTCCTGTTTACTTACCCCCTCCAAGTAAAGAGTAAAAGACTCAGATTATCTCTGAGTTCCTGATCACATGCTTTTTTACCCAGGGAATATTGGCTCCAGATAAGGGGTAGGTGGTGAATTTAATAACACAATCATTCCTGAATCAAGTGAGCATCCGTAGGCCATTTTATTCTTGTATTCAATAGTAATAGAAAATGAAGGGAGACACAGAGAGAAAGGAAGAAGTAATATTTTCAGTACGCCTACTAATGTTTCAAGCTTTGTGTTAGAAACTTTCCATTTTGGTTGTAACATTTCATCAAAAAACCACAAACTTACAAGGTAGATATTATATCCCAATCTTATAGACAAGGAAACTCAGAAGGGGGGCAGTTGCTCAGGGTCACAGAGCTAATTAGTAAGAGTCAGGATTTAAAGTCTGATCTATCTGATTAAAGAGTTCAAGCTATTACAATACAGAACACACAGAAGGCAAAGTTCCTGTTGCTCTTAAGATATCCATGGCTCCTATTACCAATACCAGTAACCAATTTTTCTCAGTTTTGCTTGCCTGAATTCATCTCCCCAAGCTATATGCTATCCAAATGATTATGGCTGTCTCATTCATTGATTTAAACTACACTTTATTTTCATTTCTTTTAAAAAAATATATTTTATTGATTTTTTTTTTTTTAATAGAGGAAGAGACAAGGATAGAGAGTTAGAAATATCAGTGAGAGAGAAACATCAATCAGCTGCCTCCTGCACACTTCCTACTGGGGATGTGCCTGCAACCAAGGTATATGCCCTTGACCAGGCTGACCCTCTATCCACTGAGCCAAACCGGTTTCAGTTTCATTTATTTTTTATTTCCTTTATCTTTCTTCCTTTTTGTTCTTGTTAAGAAAATTGGGCATATTAGCACAGCAGGTCCCACTGATAAACAAGACTTAAGTTGGGGAGATAGCTTTCTATCTGCTGGTCTAGTATGTTAACCAGAGATGAGATTTTTTTTAAAAAATGTTTTTATTGCCGAAACCGGTTTGGCTCAGTGGTAGAGCATCGGTCTGCGGACTGAAAGGTCCCGGGTTCAATTCCGGTCAAGGGCATGTACATTGGTTGCGGGCACATCCCCAGTAGGGGATGTGCAAGAGGCAGCTGGTTGATGTTTCTCTTTCATCGACGTTTCTAGCTCTCTATCTCTCTCCCTTCCTCTCTGTAAAAATTCAATAAAATATATATTTTTAAAAATGTTTTTATTGATTATTTATTCTTAAAATATGTTTTTATTGATTTTTGTTGTTTCTTTTAAAAAATATATATCTTTATTGATTTCAGAGAGGAAGGGAGTGAGATAGAAACATCAGAAATGAGAGAGAATCACTGATCAGCCACCTCCTGCATGCCTCCTATGAGGGATTGAGCCCACAACCAAGGTATGTGCCCTTGACCAGAATTGAACCCGTGACTCTTCAATCCACAGGCTGACACTCTATCCATTGAGCCAAACCAGCAAGAGCTGTTGTTTCTTTTTAAAAAATTATTTTTAGAAAGAGAGGAAGAGAGAGGGATAGAAACATTGATAAGAGAGAAACATCATAGATCGGCTTCCTCCTTCATGTCCCCTACTGGGGATCAAGCCCACAACCCAGGCATGTGCCCTGATTGGGAATCTAACTAGCAAACTCTAGGTTCATAGGTCAATGTTTACCTCTAATCCACACTGGCCAGGCCAGAGGTGATATTTAAGCAAGATAGGACATTGTGACATCTTCCTCTAATTTAGGAACATTTTAAGACTGAAGGAATGAAAAGGATAAAAGGAAATTGAGTGATGGCTGTTTTCTTTGTAAAAAGCAAAGGCTCTAGAAAAATGGTTAATGTTGCATTTTGTTATGTATTGTGCTTTGTATATAATAACAATGAAGAATGAGGGTACAGTGTGGCCTGTATGGCTCAATGGTTGGAGTGTCAGCCCGAGGACCAAATGGTCATGGATTCAATTCCACGGCACATACTCAGGTTGCAAGTTTGATCCCTACCACGGTTGGGATGCATGCAGGAAGTAACCAATTGCTGTGTCTCTCTCACATTTGCTCTCTTACTCCCCTCCACTCTCTAAAAATTAGTGGAAAAATATCCTTGAGTGAGAAATAACAACAAAAAA